CCCTGGACCGGGTATCGACTCCGAGCAGGAGAGACTGGTTGGCCACCAGGTAGCGGCAGAGCATTGGATCAAAAGGAATGTTCATGAAAACATTTGGGAGTTGTATCAGGATGCATGAAGGCGGAGGAATAGCTCAGCCTAAAGAACAAAGGAGTAACTACAGGAGGTGATTACGAACAGCTGATGCTGATCAAGATCCCCTCCTGCAGATAAAAGAGACTGCTGGTGCCACGCCCTGGTGGCAGAAGTCAACGTTGTCATTCTGGGTCTGGTTCGTATTCACAAACCGAGAGAAGCTAACTTGGATAAGTGGCTTGATAAGAGAAGCCGGGTTTGCAGTGTTTTGTGAGTTATAGGACTTTCTGCCAGAGCTATTACCTTTGTTTATTTGGGCTTGCAGCCAACAAGAGCTTGGACTAATTAAAACATTCTTTTGTACGTCTGTGTTGGCTTTCGTTCCTGGACAGAGAAGGGGGGGTCAGAACACACACATATATGTGTGTGTATGTGTGTGTGTATGTATATACATGTATACATATACACATACAAACATACATACATACATACATACATACATACATACATACATACATACATACAGAATTGGGGTTAAATTGCTTTAATCGCCCACTTCTTCAGAACAAAGGAATTAGCTACAATTCCTTATCAATTTAAAAAGGAACACGAAAAGGAACACAATGTTAAGCGAGTCATTATATTCTAAAATCTTCTTTTTTAGCCAGAAACAGATGAAAAGTTGACCCATTTGCTACCCTGTTTCCCTGAAAATAAGCCTCCCCAGATGATAAGCCTAATCGGGCTTTTGAGTGCATGCGCTAAAATAAGCCCTCCCCTGAAAATATTGCAACACAGCAGTAGCCATGAGGTGACTATGCTTACCCCCTCCTGCACCTCCAAAATAATAAGCCCTCCCTGAAAATAAGGCCATGCGCTTATTTCGGGGGTCAAAAGAAAATAAGACCCTGTCTTATTTTCAGGGAAACCCAGTATGCACCAGAAATGCCGTTATGTGACTGTGTGTTTGTGTGTGTGTGCATGCATGCATGCAAACATGGCATCATGAGAAGTCTGGAACCAGGTTGTAAGTATCTTCATTGTAACTTCAAACAGTGACTAAGTGACCAGTTGTAAGTTGAAGACTACCTGTATAGAACTCATATTTCAGTTTTAAGAGTCCTTTGACTTGTCTGCTGTATAAGTTGTCGTATTTGTCCAAAGAGGAGGAATATTTATAACTAAATCAATTGTATGTATCTTTTTGCAGATGTCTTTGTATGATGAAGCTAACAAGAGGGTTCAAGTTCATCGACTGTCCGTTGATTATTACAACCAGCCACTTCAGAGGCAACGGACACCGAGTGCGGTCAGCATTATCACCAGCGTCCTTGAAGGTAGAAGCTTTCTTTTGTAGAACTTTTGTTGCTAAGCAAGGAGATGGATATCATATGATATATCATATGTCATATGTCGTATGTCGTATGTCATATATCATATATCATATATCATATATCATATATCATATATCATATATCATATATCATATATCATATATCATATATCATATATCATATATCAT